TCTTCACTGTGATTCTTTGGTCTCATGTTGTCCAGTGTTCTGGTTGGGAACGTTTAGGAGGCTTTTAGTAATGTTACTAGTTTTATCAGCTAATGTATGTAGTTACATATCAGTGTTGAGTAGTGAGACAGAGTTAGACATTCAGCAAATTGTTCCTTTTATTGGATGGTGTGTCAGAGACTGGTTCCAATGGACACACTGGAGAAAAAGAGCATATTGAAGTTTTATGTTGAGACTTAAAACACAGTGCCTCCCAGAGCAGCAGGCAGATTCACTGAGGAAGAGCAGATGGAGGCCCGGGAAGGGCATGGAGCAGGACAGGAAGGCTGCCCTGGATGACGAGGAAGAGTGTCATATGCTCACAGAGGGGAAGGGAGAGGAGGCTGCCTGGCCTACACACAGCAGTGTTCTGGGGAAACGATGCTCTCTATGTGTCTAATGACAGCTGTTCAGACACCAGGTTAAGAAGTGATATGCAGAGTCTTTGACCCAGTGTCTGGCATAGATTCCATCCCAGGCCACAACCGAGAGACAGCGGCCCAGGATGGCCAGGCAACTGAGCTGGGACAAGCAGCTGCTTTAATATCATTGCAGATCTCAAACAAAAATAAGAATATTCCTGGGGTGGGGCTGTAGCTCAGTGGTTGAGAGTGGACTTACCATACATGGGGCCATTTCTTTCCTTAGATTACCTTGAATTTAGAAAGCCTTTTTGCTCCTCCTTTTCTGTCCAAGTAGTCCCCCCTTCCCCGAGGGTTCAGTTTTCACAGTTGGAGTTACCTAGGTCAACCTCAGTCCAAAAATATTAAACAGAAAATTCCAGAAATAAATAATTCATAAGTTTTAAATACAACTTTTATTATACTGCATTAGAATTGTTCTATTTTATTATTGCTGTTAATCCTTACTGTGACTCATTTGTGAATTAAACTTTGTCATAGCTGTGCATGCACAGAAAAACCATGGCATATATGGAGTTTGGTACTAGCTATGGTTCCAGATATACACTGCGGTTCTGAAACATAACCCCTTGATTAGGGGGACTCCTGTATTCTTGAGTCTAGCTTCTGTCAACTTGACCTTGAAGATGTACCAAAAGTGTAGTAAATATCTTAAATCCCATTTTGTGTTTCTGTGTGTCCTCTGGCATCAAGTGTGTCATCTGCCTGTCTGTGGGCAGGATGAGGAGGTTGCTGGTTTGGGACTTTGGAGCCCTTGGAGCCTTAACAAGCCCTTGACATTGGCTTGTTAAGCCAGTGTGACATTGGGCTTAACCTCTCAATGTCAAATGGGACCCCTTTCCCCACAGAGATGACCCTATTTTACAGATGAGGGGACTCAGACCCAGGGGATCAGGTTCAGAGGGCAGTGAGTCAGGGCCAGGAGGCAGTCAGGTATCCTCAGGTAGAACCAGGCCAGTGGACCTCTCCCTAAGAGTGACCTTGTCTGTGCCTGGGGGCATGTTAGCCTGGCATCCTATCCTCTTTCCTCTGGAAGACCCCTGGAGATCTGAGACAGCAGTTTTCCAGGTTGGGTAAGGGCCTATCTGAGTTGATGCTACTGTGTGGGTCAGGTGAGAATCCAAGAAGAGTTTAACCAGGTTGGAAGAGGGGCAACAGGAAATGGCTACATAGGTAAGTGAGGGTGTGGCTATGTGCCAGTAACACCAAAAAACAAACAAACAAACAAACAAACAAACCAGGAGGTAGGAACGTACCCAAAGGAAGTGCAAGTAGGGACTCAAATAAATACTATACTGGTGCACCCGTTTGTATCATGGTGTTCACAGTAGCCAGAGGAGAAGGTAGCCAAGTGTCCATCAGTGGACAGATGGATAGGTATCCACACAGTGGAATGTTCTTCACCCTTAAAAAGGAAGGAGATTCTGAAACATGCTATACCACAGATGGACCTCGAGGATGTGATGCTGAGTGAACTTAGCCAGGCACAAAAGGACATGCTATGTGATTACACAAGAGTAGTCAGATTCTAGCTTCTATCACAGCTAACTGTGCAAGGGCAGGAGGATAGCCGTGGTTGGGGTCCCCTGCTCCCCTGCAGTGGGATCAACCCTTACAAACAAGACTCAGCCCTGTGCTGAGCTATACATTAAGTATCCAAACAGATGGCACTGGCCACTGCTGCCTCCACAGGCCATTTGCCTGGTTAGCATTGTGGGGACCATCTGTTCCTTTCCTGGCTCAAAGAGAACAACTCCCATTGGCCCAGACCGTATGGGCCATTGCTAAGGGTGGTCATGGTGGCCCATGTGCAGAGGGGTGAGTAGCATTGGGACTCATCTCAAAGGAAGGGATGGCTGCCTCTGGCCTGCCTCAGCTGCCCAAAGGCCAGTTGCTGCCATGAATGGCTTCCACAGCCTCCCTGCAATGGCCTGCAGCCTTTGCCAACAAATCTCATTTAACTATTAGTTTCTCTATGTCCCTGAATGGGGATTGACTTGGATTCCCAGAGTTAAAAGACCAAAAGTTATATAACATCTCCAGAGATAGTGACTGCCTAGAAGCCAACATGTTTATTAAATACTGCTGCAGGCTAAGGCTCTGCAATTGCCTCTGTGGTCAGATAGCAAGTCTAGCATTCTTTAGGAGGAGTCTTTGGACACAGGTAGCAATTGACTTTGTTGAATAAGTGGGCAAGGTGACTTACCTGTAGAAAGAGAAATATAATTGCTTACATGCAAAACAGGGTAGAAATAAGTTTATGATGGCAGAAAAATGTCATGAGGAAGAAAATGAGAATCAGAATTACAGAAACCATGTATTACTCAATACCATGTATTATTTATTATCTTCTGGGCATCTGGATAGCTCTTTCATGTATAGATAACTCCATTCCACTCTTGAAGCAGTTAACCCTGCAAGGTGGTAATTATTAGTCTCATGAGGAAATGAGGTCACCCAGTAGTAAGGGGTCAAGTTAGGTGCAGACAATCTACAGAATCCCAGATCTTGAGAGGGTAAGGGAAGAGCCTTGGACAGGAGCCAGAGAGAGAATCCAGGCTCCTATTGCTGAGTGCCCACTAGTCTCTAGGTACTACACAGCATTGTGCACATGACACCTACTTGGATCTGCACCATAGTGCTTGACCCTCTGTGATGGTAAGCAACAGAGACACAGTGTAGCAAGCTTTAGTGAAAAAGGAGATTCTTAATTTTAGCACCAAAGGTGTGTCTGCTAAACCCTAGAACAGGAGGTAGCCAAGATTTCTGGTGAGGAGAGTGAAGGAAGGTAAAGAAGCTGCCAGGCTCTCTCATGCAAAGCTCTCTACTCTTGAGCAAAGGTGTGGAAATGGTCCACACCTTTACAGTATCCAAGTCCTCCAAAGTCTCTGCCTGGGACTGTCAACCCCATTGGGATCAGGTTGCAGCATACAGAATGATTGTAGGTGAGGTGTGGGCAGCCAACACGGTGTTGTGTAGACCTTCGTCCTACTTAATTAAGTTCAGGGGTAGATCATTTTATTTCCATCTTACTCAGAAGGGATTGAGATTCCTAGAGATTTCCTGCCCATAGTCACATGGTTAATGGTGGGGAGGGTTTGAACTAGGCTTATCCTACTGAAAACCTGTATTTGTAATCATCACATAAAAACTGATCTAGAGGACAGTATAGTAGTCTCCCCCTAAACTGCCAATGGTATAAAGATATATATAAATATATATAAATATACACATATATTATCTACATACATAGTATATTCTGTGTTGCTAGTATATATTATACTATTATATGTAAATACTGTACATACTAATGTATATATCATAGTACATTATACATTATATATAGTATATTGTGTCAATAATGTATGTATATATTATACATGCATATAGATAGATGCAAATTATGTTTTTCTTATATATGCCTATAATAAAGTTTGATTTATAAACTTGGCACAGTGAGAGATTAACAATAACTAATAATAAATAGAATCTTTGTAACAATATACTGTCAAACATGAATTGTTCATTTCTGGGATTTCCCATTTAATATTCTCAGACCACAGTTGACTGCAGGTAACTGAACCCTCAGGAAGTGAAGCTATGGATTATTTGCGGGGGAGACTACCACAGTCTCAAATTCAGCCAGAATCAAGCTGGCAAAGAAACCCATGATGCCTGAGAAGCTGAAGACTACCTGAGCATCTAGGTAGTCTTCAGCCCATCTCTATTTTAAAAGCTCTTCTTTCAACCATGGTGACTAGCTAGCAATTTTCTACAAGCAGTGAAAGTCAGAACAAGAAGCAGGCCTCTGAGAACAATGTGTGACTGCTCACGGGTCATCTGATGTGAGGGAAAGTCCCCACTGCAGGAAGGGCCACTAGGGTCAGCCCTTCTTGGAGACCAGGAGCTAGGCCACATGGTTTTGCACTTGGTTCCACTCTGTCCTCAAACTGAAATCTGTCCTAAAAAACTGCTCCGGCAGAGAATTGGGACACCCCAGGGGTCTGGATGTTCTCATCTGACCTTTCCACAAGTCCAAAGCAGATGGACCCACTTGTTGTCTTTGGCTCCCTGTTGTACTTGAGAGTGAGTGCTCATTCTTAGATATTTCACTTTGCCCATGGGGTAGAGAGGGTGGAATTGTTTATAATGAATATTTTGGTGTAGACCTGACTTGACACTAACTTAGCTACTTTAGGGATGTTTGCCCTGAAATGAACACTGAATTCATGTCTCAAAAACTTGGCCAAGATAGTACAAACTTTAAATGAGATGAACTTACCACACGAGTTGATGGAGTATATACTTGTCCGAAGATGTTACCTAGAGTTGTTTATCTAAGAAGATAAGAATTCACCTTCTATTTCATATACACTGAGTGCCAGAGACACAAGTGGGTAGGGTAATGGAGGGGGTGTTCCAATTTCCTCTGGAGCAGAATAAGCCTCAGATAAGGGCAAGAGTTCTGTGGGAAGGGGGATTTTTGAAGCTGTTTGTAATGTGGCATTAATGGGTGCTTTTCTGCTTCTCGCTTTGCAGATTGGAAACTTGGAAGACTACTATCATTTTTATCATAGCAAAACCTTTAAACGTTCAACTTTGAGTAGCAGAGGTCCTCACACCTTCCTCAGAATGGACCCCCAGGTATGCATGGGCAGGATTCCTTCCTATGGATGGAGTGTCCAGGTCTGTGATCCTAACACTGGCCAAGTCTGTATTGTGATGTGATTCTAGAGAGAGATTAATTTTCCTTATCTACTTGGGATAAAACATGATAGAGATACAGCAAGATATCAGCTCACCTAAATGCCCCAAGTATTTGGGTTGCTTGTCAGACTTGAGAATTTAAATTCTCTTTTTTTTTTTTTGGTGGTACTGGGGTTTGAACTCAGCTCTTTGTACTGAGGTGCTCTGCTTAGGCCATGCCTCCAGCCTGGAGAATTTAAACTCTTGACTTTAGTTGGAAGCAACATTCATGTGAAAATAAATCTATCAATACTTTAAACATCTGCTGGGCTGGGAATGTTTGCTCCCACTTTCTGTGTGGGGAGCAGAAAACGTTTTTCTTTTTTTCCCTCTACTTTATCTTGTTATACTAAAATAAATTCTTGCTAAAATTTAAAAAACAATCTATAAGACTGGGGTTATAACTCATGGTAGAACATTTGCCTAGTATGTGCAAGGCCCCGGGTTCTAGTCCCAGCACTGCAAACAAACAAGTAAATTTAACAGACTATGTAATAATTACACCCATAAAGCAAAGCCACCAGTACTTCAAGTGAGAATTTTAATAATGAAATGATCTGGAAGGTGAATGTTTTTGTGGTTATCATAACACATATCTTAATGGTTACCATAAATTTTAAAAACTGGGGCAGGAAGTATAATTCGTTTTCCGTAAAAATTCATGTGAAGATGGTGGAACGGCTCAAGTGGTAGAGTGCCTGCCTGGCAAGCTCAAGGCCCTGAGTCCAACCCCCAATACCACACCAAAAAATAAAATGGTGCCTCCAACTTGTAATCCTAGCTTCTTGGGAGGTAGAGATCAGGAGGATTGTAGTTTGAGGTCAGCCCTGGCAAAAAGTTGACAAGACCCCATCGCAACCAATGGATGGATGCAGTGATGTGTGCCTTCATTCCAGCTGTTTGGGAAGCATAAGTAGGAGGATCGAGGTCCAGGCTGGCTTGGGCATAGGATGAGACCCTATCTCAAAAATAACCAATGCACAAAGGGCTAGGGGAGCAGTTCAAGCAGTAGGTCATGCCTAGCAAGCGCAAAGCCCTGAGTTCAACCCCCAGCATCACCAACAAAACAAAGCAAAACAAAACGACAAATCATGTGATCTCTGTTCGAGAGTAAACAAATGTAATTTGAAAAGAGGCTCACATTTGCAGTTTTAATAAAACTCATATTTATTGGGGCAGTTAATTATACCTCCTTTCTGCATAGATTTGAAATTACCGTTTGACAAATATCAGTCAGCAGATGCTTAGTAATATTCAAATTACATATAAATGGCCACGCAAGCCTTTGATAAATTCAGCGACTCGACTCCACAGGTATTGTTTGGGTACCTGTCCTGAGGCTCACTCTGCCCACAGCAGGACCACCCTGCAAATGAAGCAAGAAACAGAAAAATAAATGATAGCTCATAGGGCGATGAGTGCTATTAGGGGCGGATAAAGTTCACGAGAGAAGCAATAGGACCCCCCAACAAAGCAGTGTGACCCCTGATCAACCATAGTTTTGCACAGAGCAATCATCTCTTAAAAGCAGTGCACTGCCTGGTGGGCTGGGCTCTCTATTTTTGTGCAAAATTATTTCAGATATTATCATTTATAATAAAGATTCCATGGAAGAATGTGTGCTTGGTGTGGCCCCATGCCACCCACTGACAGTCATGGCTTCTGCTGTAGTGACAGCAGGGGAACAGTGGGAGAGTTAGTTCTCCTGACCACATGCTGAATTGCTTTTCTCTGGGGCCTCTCCCTGTGGGCATTCTGATTTGAAGTATACAAGGAAGTGACCCCCCATGGAGCTCATTCGTGTAAGTGGGCTGTGAAAAGGCAGACGTGTTGTGAATGTATTTCTGAATTCATTTTATAGATGGGTGGATGAGAGGATGTATAGACAGATGGACTGATGGAGGGATGGAGGGATGACTGAAATGTACGGATAAATGATGGATGGATAAATAGATGGAGATAAAATAAAGCATTCTGCCTAATCTTGTTACCCCTTCATAGCAAGGAAAGGAATTTAATGTTAATTAAGGGATTCCTGGGTGCTTGGTTATTTTAATATACATCATCTCACCTAATTACATGGGGCTATGATTCTATCTACTTGCGCTCACACCAGGGAGCATGAATCAGTGCTTTTTCAAAAAGGCTGGTTTCATTGCTTCTAGGAAGCAAAGCCAGATTGAGTCACTCATACCCCAGAATGGGGCAACCGGGGAAGGGCAAGGAGTCCTGATCAATAGGAACAGAGCAGTAGGGGTACTCATTCTGCACCCAGAGGAAGCACGGGCTCTGTGAGGTTGAAAGTGGCCCATCACCTGTCATCTTGGAAGAAATTCTAAGCTAGGAAGGATGTCACCACATCGCCCCTACCCGGGTTCACTTTAAGCAAACAGTGGATCTTTCTTGTGAAGAAATGCTCTTCCTGTGAAATCCATGTAATCATTAACTCCCTCCTGCACAGAGTTCCAATGAGGGCAGCCTGTTTGCATGCAGGGTGCATTTTGGGAAGACACTGGGACAGTGGATTTCTTGGTCCGCTTTCCATAGGAACTTCTGCCAATAAAGCTGCTTCTTGATGTTGGAAGGAAGACAAGGTCAAAATAGAGCACTTAATCTGTATCTTATCTACATCCTCTGTTTTTGGTGACTAAAGTTTAAAACTTTTAAAGGTATTCAACTTGACCATCCTTCCCTTCCTTCCAAAAATATTAACTGCTACCCAGCAGGACTCTGCACTGTCAAAGCCACAGCAAAGCAGGGGGATAGGAGACTTGTGTGTAGGCAATGCAAGCAGATGGCAGTCCTGTCACCTCAGTTCTGCCTCTCTCTGCAGGGTCTGGGTTGCTTGGTTGGTTCCTTTTAGGTGTGTCTAAGGGACTGTATTCAGATTGGGTCTGAGAGCCATGTTCCCAGTAATCAGTTATGTCCCTGAAGACAATGAGAAGAAGACTTCCTAGAAAAAGGCTCAGCAGTGAACTTTTTTCAAACAAGGATACCTTTCACACAGAGTTTCTCGGTAAGTTTCTGGCAGGGCTGCTATCAAAGCATTCCGCCAGTAAAGAAGAAAGAGAAAAAAGGTGCACAGTTGGGCCATCCCAGCCCTGCCTGGAACCTCCATGCGATTGGTTCATTATCTCCCATACCCTAATTAAAGTTTTAGCCCCAGGAGAAGTATATAGACATCTGAATCAATTATGAATTCAGAGTTGTAGTTGAAGTACCTCTGTTTACATGAGTCTAGTTTTAAAGCAAGCTGAATCAATTAGCTGTCAGTCTGATGACTATTTACTTTGTCCAATCATTTCCAATTAAATAGTTGGCGAGATTAGCTATTTTATGGAAGTATGTAGTGTTATCTTTTATTGAAGCTATCTGAACCATTTTTCTATATTAGCAGAGCCTTTCTGTGATACCTTCACATCTGGAAAGTTGTGTAATTAATATCATTAACAAAAGGAAAAGATGATGTAATATTACCCAGAGATACTGGAATGCAAAGTTGCCAGTGTGTTAGAATGACCCAACTGGAAATGAATGTTACAGGGCTTTGGATGAAGTTCAATCAAATACACATGGTATTTTATTTTAATTAGCTCCAGTCTCTGTTGTATAAAAGTACTTTGATAAGTGATGGAATTTACAATCCCCTCCCCAACATCACATAAAAACTGATAAAAGTGTAGATTTGTTTAAACAAAACACAAGAGAAAAGGGGAGGCTATAGTAGAACTTTCCTTCCTTCTTTCCTTCCTTCCTTCCTTCCTTCCTTCCTTCCTTCCTTCCTTCCTTCCTTCCTTCCTTCCTCACTTCCTTCCTCACTTCCCACCCTCCCTCCCCTTCCCTTCCCTCCCTCCCTCCTTCTTTTCCTCTCCTCTCCTCTCCTTTCCTTTTTTCCTTCTTTCTTTCTTTCATGGTTTAGAGTTTGAATTCAGGAACTTGCTTGCTAAGCAGGTGCTCTACCGCTTAACCCTTTTTGCCTTAGGCATTTTTTTCAAATAGGGTCTCCAGTTTATGCCCAGGCCAGTCTGGACCATGATTCTTTTATTTACACTTCCTGTGTAGCTAGGATGATAGGCATGTGCCACCTTGCCCAGCTGTTATTGGTCAAAATGGGGTCTCATGAACTTTTTGCCTAGGTTGGCCCTGAACTGTGATCCTCCTGATTTCTGCCTCCTGAGTAACTATGGTTACAGGCGTGAGCTACCACGCTGGCCTTTTAGGCAAGCGCTCTACCATTGGGCTACATTCCCAGCCCAGGGCTTTCTTCTTTAATCACACACAGATACACACACACACACACACACACACACACACACACACACACACACACACACACACATGCATGAAGCATCTTTGTTTGCATTGACCTTGTACTAGCATGTGTTGTGGTTTTCTTGACATGTTTTTTATTACCTTTACTTGATATTTTTCTACTATCTTTGAAGGGGCCATTTTGCTCCAGTTGCTCTGCTGACCCGCCCAGTCACGGAGAACAGCCCTAATGTTCTCAGTGCGCAGTATCAGTCACTGGGCTTTTCCAAGGGCTGTCATTTAAGCAAACTGAAAGCATTTGTTTTTGACTTGTTTTTTTGCCAAAAGTCTGGAGAAGGGTGGATGTTTCAGATACATCAGCCAATCGCTGAAAGGACCCATAAATTTTTTTTAAATTACTTGTTCTGATTCTGCTCCAAGCTGGCTTCTAGTTAGATACTGCTGCCTGTGTCTTCCAAACCTTACATTTTAGCACGATGACTCGGGCTCAGCCCTTTCCTTCCCTTTGGTTTTTAGCCAGATGGATGATGGTAATGGAAGGATAGAGATGTTATTAGGGAGGCTCGTGGTGGCTCTGACCAGGCCGGTGGGAACCTCTGGGCTGATGCAACATGTCAGGGTTATAA